CACTGAAATGATAACAGTTATTCCCCCATAATTAGAGCATTTGTTTTTATCTCCTTTCTTGAATATTGAGCTGATGTATCCAACATTCCAATTATCAATGATATTTTTTCCTTTTAAGCATTTGTTAAATAGTTGAATCAACATCTCATGTTATATTTTTGGTCCATACTTTACCAACTCAATTGGGATGTCTCCAGGTCTCTTGGCTTTATCGGTTTTCGATCTTTTGAGGGCATCGCTTAACTCTCCGGTTGTTATCTCAATTATTTGTGTATGTTCGGATATGTCGTCCATTTTGATCTCTTAGAATTTACATCTATCATCTGTCAATCAGACCTGATAATAGTGTTTCCACTGTTTCAGATCTATTAACTGTAAGCTAGATTTCTCTAACTCTAATATTAATTAGTTATTTATATTTCAGCTTTTATTTTACCAACACTACTAATAAGCATATGTCTCTGGCTCAAATAGTATCCTTTTTTCATCATCATTCTTTTTTCCTATATCTCTTTGCGGGGTCGGCCTCCCGACCCCGCAAAGGGGAAAAAATATTTCTCAATTTTAAATCAAGTATTTATTTCCATAGTGATAGTTTTCCCTTTTTTATTATATTAGCTGTTATTGTATTAGTACCAGGGGTATTATTATTTTTTAGCACTTATTATACTTAATAAACTTATCATAATTTTAACTTGGAAAGGTCCATAAATTTCTCTCCCAGCTGATATGTTTGTCTTTCCAGTTATTTGGGAGTCAGTGGGAATATATTAAAGGATCTAAAGTTTTCTTGATATTGTTCTGAAGCTATTTTGTTGTGGCATTTTATTGGAAATAAGCCACAATTAAAGGCTAAAATAACTTTATTTATGTTTCAACTTCTATTTCGGAAATCGTTCTCAAAATAAAAACAATAAATTGTTTATTAACGTAAGAACCTTGGTGGACTTTTTTTATACGTGTCGAAACGTAGATAGAGTACATCCCACATATACATTTGCTTTGACAGCTCAAATTTTGAGCATGTACCGTTTTTTCTTTTATACATTAAGATGAACGCAAGCTACTGTTAACAGTATCGGTAATTATTCTATTGTTTGTTTTATTTTAATTACATTAACTTTGCTAAATATTCTCTCACACTGGGCATTCGAGTGCGGTATACTCAATAAATTTAAAGCAAATTTTGCTAAATTTGGAAATATCGAAAGCATTTTTGTAAAGCAACAAACGCGACCAAAAAAGATCTATTTTTTCATGATTTCTAATTTTGTGATAGGAAATTAAAGGTAGCTTCCTTCATTCATCATCAATTAATTGTTGTATGTCAACACCGTAGATGGAAGAAATTTTTTGGAATACTGAAATATGGGAAACAAGCTTAGATCAAACCTGCCTGATCCTCCCCGATTTTGCCTTTTATTGCTTGCTCTATCTTTTCTCGCATATAATCTTCCCATATAATCTTCCTATTGATGATATTACGCTTATTTCTTTGTAGTTTTCGCATCGTTTTCTATCTCCTTTCTTAAATATAGATGTCATATATGCCTCCATCCATTCCTTTGGGAGCTGTTCTCTATTTATGGCTTTCTGAAATATCCATTGCATCATCCGGTGTAATTTTTTTAAGCCGTATTTTATAAGCTCAGGTGAGATGCCTCCAGATCCCGGTTCATTCTTATTTTTGATTGCTTTTATGGCCGTTCTCATTTCCCTATCTGTTATTTCTATTTCTTGTTGTGTTTTTTGTTTTTTCTGTTTCGTCTTCGCCTGTTTTCTTTTCCAATGTGCCAAACAAAGTCTTTGTTCTGTTAACAATTCCCTGTAATAGTGCTTCCATTTTTTGTCCTGTATATTTCCCAATTTCTAGAGTACAAAGGCTTCGATGGGCTGGTCATGTGGTACGGATGGATGCCGACAGATTGCCGAGAAAGGCCTTGGATGGTAAAATGCAGGGCAGAAGACCAAAGGGAAGACCACGTAATAGATGGGAGAACGAAGTCACAGCAGATGCGCACAACTTACTGAACGTCAGGGCTTGGAGACGAGTGGCGCCGGATCGCCTTTGTTGGAGGCAGAAGTTATAGGAGGCCAAGGCTCAATTTGGGCTGTAGCGCCATTGGAAGAAGAAGAAGAATATTTCCCAATTTAATTTTTTCTTTTGAGTTTTGTTTCTATCCTTTCAGTACTTTCCATGGCTCCGAAGTTCTTGTACCTCCTATGTATGTTTCAATATTTAAGCAGGTTCTTTCCCATTCTTCATTCGTTATTTGTTTTTTTCACTTCTCTATCTTTTTCTCTATATTCTTTATAAACTTTATCGTTGTTTGTAGTCAGCCATTTTCTGTATAGTTTATAGCTTTTTTTCTTCAATTATTCTTTTTGTTGGTTCATTTATTTCATAATAGTGCTCTTTATTTGTTATACGTTCTTTTTCTTAAAGGGCTTCTCTTTGGGCTTGTTTTATACTCGCCTTTATATGCTCGTATATTTCTTCGATGTTGCACACTAACCTTGAGTTTTCACCTTGTTTAGGCTTACGCCTCTTCAAGGAACGGGGAACTCCTTTTTTTTTTTTTTTTTTTTTTTTTTGACGGAGTTGTGGTGGTTACGAGATAAGACGTCAACTGATCGAAACGCGGCCTAAGAAGCAGAGAACTGCTAAGGAAGAAGGGGGAAAAGAAGGTGGCTTATTTTGTGATCGATAAGAATCGTGAACGCACAAGAAGAATTGGGGGTCGCCTAGCATGCAGTGAGGTACTTCAGGGTTACCAGCCATACAGTAGGAACTGCTCTTTATCAGCGTTTTTGGTGCGCAGCTTATCTGCGATAGTATATGGGGAAAGATTCTAAAATATCAAAATACTCATCAGGAAGTTCGGGTCCAGCGTTGTGCAGAAGTTTGGCTGGAGGGAATGGAACTTTTTTGGCGGGATGCCTGGTGAGTATTTGCCCTCTATGTGTGCAAGGTGTCTTTAGTGTTTGTTTTGCTCGGTTGTTCGAGCCAGCTATGGTTCTTAGGACATACTTCTTACTGAGGGTTAGGATTCTGTCCTTAATAGGCGTGATGTTAGATAATGCGTGTATGTGGGCTGATGGATACAGCCAGTCTTTTCTCATGCAGAAACGTAGTATTCTACGCTCTGTGGCAGTGATGGCATTAAGTTCGTGGTTCCTCAGGGAGAGGTAAACGCATGCCTTGTATTCGATAATCGGTCGGATAAAGGTCTTGTAGGTGTGCAACAAGGTTCTAGTGGACGTTCCTCCTAGTTTACCGGCCAACACTTTCAGGAGGTTGAGCCTTTTTCTCATCCTGTCAAGGGATTCCTGGACGTCAGCCTTCCAGCTGAGAGTTCTCGTAAAACGAACTCCCAAGTAGAGAACTGAGTTCCTGAGAATAAGGTTCTCTCCCAAAAGTGTCACCCGGCCCTGAAGGCCGCGTCCGTATGGGGGTCTGAATAATATTGCTTGGGTTTTGGATGGGTTTAACGTAACCCTCCATTTGTTGCACCACCTCACGACTCTGTCAAGATAATCTTGCGATTTCTCGAATACAGACCGTCGCTCTCCTTCCCTGTAGGAGCCTAAGGTAAGAATGGCTGTATCATCAGCAAATAGGAGGAGAGACTCTGATCCTTGCTGTGGGCGGGGGATGTCGCTATTGTATACTGTGTATAATATTGGAGCAAGTATTGAGCCTTGGGGCACTCCTGCTTGAGGAGTGAATGGAGTGGAGAAATGCTCTCCTATTTTGATCCGAACCGTCCGATGGGAGAGATAGGAATTTATTAGTTTAACGAAAGGTGTTGGCAGTCCAGCAAGGTGGAGTTTCTCGATCAGGCCTGCATGCCAGACCTGATCGAAAGCCTTCTGGACATCGAGGAAAATGCCTACGACGTGCTTCCTTTCGTTAATGGATTGTGAAATAAAGGTTGTTGCTTCAACCAATGCATTTTGAGTGGAGTGTCCAGCCCTGTCTCTCCTTAAGGATCCTCTCGTAGACTTTACCTAGGGTGCTCACCTAGGGTGCTTTACCTAGGGTGTTCGATGTTGCAGTATCTAAATTCTGTTAATTTTTGGTCTAGACGTTGTTGGTATAGTTCTCTTATCGATTGTTCTTGGAGTAGTTCTATATTGTATTGTTTTTCTCTTATAGTGTTTAACGGTTCTTCTGTAGAGGGGGTCTTGTTATGTTTTCAATTAATGCCCATTTTTGCTGTCAGTAATTTATAGTCTGTTCCACATTTTGCTCCTCTTCTGACTCACACATCTTTGATCTTTATTGTGTTATCTTGTTTACTTATTATGTAGTCTATTATCGATTTCAGCTTTCGTGTTTCTTGCGTCCATGTATATTTATGAATATTTTTATGTCTGAAGAATCCGTTGGTGATTTTTGATCTAATGTGTAATAAAAGAAAGACGAATAATGCATGTTGCAGAAATGAGAATACTTGTAGTGATTAAAATGGGAAAAAAATGAAAACATGCAGTTTATGTCAAAATGAAAGACATAGTCTAAGATGTTTTGGGGATTTTTAACGCTGAAATGATAGTCACCCAATACGGTGAATCTTTTGAGTGTCAAGTTCCAGGTGAGGAAGGCCCTAGAAAACGGTAACAAAGGTTAGATAAGATAATATGTCCGTGAAGGAGATTAATACTGATAAGATCCTCTGTAGAAACGAAAAAGGAATATCTAAATAAAACAATGTATAAAGTTGGTTTATATTAATATAATTTTTCCGTAAACTTTTTTACTAAATTTATTTAAAATCTATCTTTTTTGATATAATATTTTTATTTAAAATTTTCTAGATGGTTTCCGAAGCTTTTTAATACCTTTTTTTTGGTATATTTACTTTAGTTTGTGATTCATAAATATAATCTTATCATTTCGTAATGTCAATTTATGTACGTGCTTAGTAGAAATCCTATAGAAAATATTCATGATAATATAGAAGTTCTATTCATAAAGTTTTAGACCTTGCGATGAATGCAAATTACTTTTTTTAGTATAGTTTCGAGAGTGTCAATGTACGTCGTGGACTATGCCAGTATTATACATTTAAATTATAATGAACCGTTTTAGATAATAATAGAAAAGTAATCTAGTATTTTGTAATGGTTGAAAGGTGAACTGAACGATAACAAACATGAAATTTTTTTTGTTACGAAAGTAAGTAAAATATACGTAGGAGATTAAAGAACTTTTTGCAGCAATATATAAAAATGTTTAGTAGATTTACTTTTATAATGTTTTTTTCAATCCACTTACTCTTTTTTTTTCCTGAACAGCCTTCATTGAACATCACGATCGTGTACTAGGAATCATAGTACCTTGTAACATTTCTTCTGTATGAGATTCTGCATTTTTTTTTATTTAAACAAATATACCCGCATCAACCATTACGGGTCGTCAGGGGGACATACAAAAACAGTAAGATACATATTGTTAAAATAAAAAAATAAAAAAATATATTTTTGACAATCTGGTATATAGTTTAGTGTTTTTAAGATAACTTAATAAAGACTGTAAGTTTGACGTAAGTACACTTTTTAATTGTCACTAAGGGCACATGCGATTCTTTCGTTCTGGTACACTGGATACTCGACAATTATATGTTTCACTGACAACTGAGTGTTCTATGTGTCCTATTCGGAGTCGGCTGATGATGAGTTGGTCTTTTCTATTACTTGGTAGGGTATTACTTGATAAGTTTGGTTCCTACGTGACTTAGACATTCTTTGAGTTTGATGGCAGTGTGATACCGACTAGTTTGCCACGCTCTGTACATGTGGGTTTTGATATTCACTTTGTGATCAGTCCAAGGCATTTGATTTATGAGAGCAGTACTTTGGTCGGTTGTTGCATTGCTTGCCAGAGAGTCTATTTCCTCATTACCACTTATTCCCATATAGATATATTCCCTGTAGATAAGATAACTCTTCTTTGATCTTGAGAAGTATGGCGTGAGTTGTATATAGTTGTTTTATTCCAAGTAATGTGCTCATTGAATAGGTGATGATAACAAATTTGCTTTCATTGATAGAACAACATTTTTTTATGGCCTGGTGAATTGCCGTAAGTTCTCCGGTATACATATATACAACAATTTGTTGGGATTCGTATAGTATACTTGACGTATTCGTAGATGTAGGCTGCAGCATGTCCTTCATCACATTTGGAAGCATCAGTGAAGATTTGATGAGTTGTTGGGTATTTAGATATTACAGTTTTATTTTATTTTTTATTTATTTATTTAGCGTATGGACTTTCACAGTACGATAAATATACAAATACAATTACAATAATATACACATATATATTATATATATATTATTCAAACACTAAAAATAGTAAAAATAGAATGAATAGAATGAACGACACTAAATATTAATGTCCAATTTACATAGCTATTCATTTGCTTCTGGGGAACATTCCGCAAAGTCCTGGAGGTTTCCACGGTAGGCACGATTCAAGCAGTCTGAAACACAATGACTTATGGTCTGTCTAGATTCTCCGCAATCGCACTGTGGACTTTCTGCACGACCCCACCTGAACAGCGAATCAGCACATTTACCATGTCCGGTACGTATACGATTAAGCCTTGCCCAAATGGACCGGGGCAGATTTGATCCGATGAAACCCTGAGTTGGGGTGGATATCTTAATATAGTCCGATTCTACTGTTGGCATCCATCTTGTTGTCCATTGCCTATGTATATCATAGGAATTACCAATTTTTCGGGCAGATCGTATTGGAGGATTTCTAGATCTCAATCGTTGGTGCTCTTTTGAGATGTCTGGGATATTTTGATTTATTGGTAATTGTACGTTGGCAGTTGACAGTTTTATAAGCTTGCTGTGTAAGGAGAGGATGTGTGGATGTTTCGGGAGTTATTCTGCATTCTTGTTTTATAAGTTCATTTTACTAAACAGTTTAGTTAGAATTAAACACATCTTATGAACGGTATCATCTGCAAATCTGACATTGTTAACCCATTCATGTCCAGAACTATTTATGCTAATTTTTTTTCATTTCTGAAAAATTTTTGCTCTAAACGTCACAGAATTAACCAAAATATATGTTTAAAAAATGAAAAACTTTAATTTCCTTGATAATTAACTGTTGCAAACACGCGACACTGGGCAGTTAGGATTTTTTTTAAATATATTGTTTGGAATGTTTTATTAAATCATATAAAAGAGTATTAAATAAACCGACATTAAAATAATATAAAAAAAATGATTGCATATTCCTATGAAATTTAATAAAACATTTTTCATGTAAAGCAACCTTACATTTAATACATTTATTGGTTGTTAAGTGATAAAGGATGCATTGGGTTCGTTTTTTTTGGGTAGAAATAAAATGGCCCATGTTGTCGATCAGGTCTTCTTGGAAGAATTCCGAATATCGTTAACAAGGCTTTGGCTATTTTCGACAAAACTGCAGCAAATCCCTTTTTTGTTATTCAGGGATAATGTGTCTCATTCTGTGGTAAATTAACCAAGCATTTTGTGTGAAGACATCAACGCCCTAGATAAATAAAAGCCAATATCATTTCTTGAATCTCTGTAATAGGCAACATTTTAATCCATCAGATCGGTTACTCCCATATTTTTGTTATAATATAGAAAAAGATGTGGTTGTGTTAGTTTGATTTTTTTGCTTTGGGCAAAGTAGTATCTGTTCGCTTGATAAACTGGCGTCGTTTTATGGTAAATCGATGCCAAAGTAACTATGTTGTTGTCATTTCACCTTCATAAAAGCACCCTGTTTTTCTCGTCGTACCAATTTTCGTAAATTCCACATAATATGGATTTTTTAAACGTTTCACTGAATGGGCACTTTTTTGTTCTGTTTGATTGTATGGTTCCTATGTAACCTATTTCCTTCGATGTTAAAAAATCAATTAGTTTCATAGAGGTGAAAAATTATCAGCATATAAACAATAAGGCATAACCCTATCGCATTGAATTTTAGGAATAAGTTGAGCAATCTGCAATATTATTCCACCTCCAAATCCAAATTATTTTTTATATTCATTTTCTTTTCCCTTGGTTCCTTGACAAATGTTGAAATCTATGAGGTAATCAGATTTCTGATTTCAACACCACGATTTATACCCAAAGCGTATAGGTTTGCCTTTTATATGTTGTACCATATCATGTCGCCCATAGTATAGTATCATGGCCTCCTCCACGATAGATTCGGTTTCCCATAAAGTGTATTCAGCAAATGTTTGCGGGGACTTTCAAGGTACGGAGAAATTTTGTATGTTTTGTCTGAACAATCTATGTTCAGGTTATCGTTGAAATAGAGTAATCTTATAATGGTTTGAAATCGGTTACGACGCATGTTACTTGAAATCAGTATATTCTTAACGTCATAAGATTCTTCCCAGTACATGCGCCTTCTTGGATTCGTGCTGTATCCACTAACTAGTAAAATCCTATAATGGCTTTTAACTCGTCTATTCTAAATTCTTTTACAATATTTGTTAAAAGTTCTTCATTGAAAAAAAAATCAAGGATTCGCAAAGGAGTGGGTGGTTGTGAATAAAATGAAGGAGTGTATGTATTTCATTGAGTTTTTTATGTTCAATATCCAAATAAAGGAAATTTTCAATTGCTAAATCTGCCGGAATCCATTTCCGTGGTAGGAGTGTTTTGAATATCTTGTTTTTTTTATTTCGTGTCTATATTTCTGTTTCTGTTTTCTCTTCCATATCTTGTTCTTCCTGAACTTATGTTACTCTTTAAAGATCTGCCTGTTTTTCATATAGAATTATATTTTCTTCGTCGACCCTTCTTTCTTCTTGAAGAAGAAGAAAGCTTCTGATTCCGCATCCAACATATTTTTGTTTAGGTTATTGAATTTTTTCCTCCACAGTCTTCATCTCCACTATCTTCATCAGTCAATTCAGTGGGGTCAGGAAGTGCTAGGAAAACATCTGCACTGTTGGTAATACCTGGGAACGTGCTCTCAAGAGATTACAGGTTTTTCCGAGAGGATTTTTTTGTATAATGTCATGTAATATAAATACTTGAAATTAAGACATTTAATGAGTTATTGAAGTGTGTTAAATCTCTGTTTAGATCAATCATATAGTTTGTGAGTTATTCAATTTGTTTATCCCAGAGATCGATTATTTAAACAACTATAGTTGCCCAAAGAGTGACTAGAGATATTTAGAAGATAAAAATCGATTCGTTAAGGCTTCAGCTTTAAGATATATTAAAAAAATTTCAACATTTTATCAAAATTGTTAATAAAAAAACTGTTTGAAGTGCTGACTTTTTAGCTTATATCATTTATAATAATTGTCACGCGCTTGTAGATAGGCTTACTAAAAAGATGGTAAAAAAACACAATAAAACATATTGAAAAAAGAACCAAGATGTCAATTTTTTTATTAAAATCATATTTCCATTATTTATTAATATTAATAGCTAAATATTGAACATATCATAAATGAAAATCTAAGTTTTATGATGAATTTTACAGATGGCATATAACGAGAAGGGGTAAAAAATTATAAACCGTTAAATTGATGGTATTCGTAAAGTACCGCTTGTAAGTGCTCCGTTTTTTTAAGAATGGAACCAAATTAAAGGGCACTGAAAAAATTTGCTGTATTTTGGTTTCTATTGCACGCAGAAGCTTATTTTTTTTAATTTGTTATTATTTTTGATAATCAGAAAGTGTAAAAACGTCTATAAAATAACTACAGTAAAACCTCCGTTAACCGAAATAATTGGGAAGAGGCTGTTTCCGATAACAAGAATTTCGGTTAAAATTAACATTGTTTTTTATAGTATTCTTGGTTAAAGTATTGGTATTAAAAAATACTATGAGGTGATTTCGTAATGTTTTCCAATAAGTAAATGCAGAATAAAGTAATAAAATTAAGGAAAATGAACAAGTTTAACAAGTTTTTTTTTAAAGAAATCTTCTATTTTCTACTACGTTATCGTTTGACAACGATGTTTTGCAGCTAATATCTCCATCGTTCATTTGTAGAACGTCGTAAGTTTGCCTCATTTCATCTTTCGACGAAACGTAAAGCAATCTGAAAAGGACAAAACTTTATACCATGACAACAACAATTAAGTACCTAGTCGTGTCCCTAACTAATTAGGCCTACTGTACAAAATTCAGAGGTTAGTCAG